ATTTATCAATATAAACGAGTTGAGTTGTAAACATTTGTTAATTTTTCGTGATTATTAATTCTATGTGTAAGTTTTAGGTGAAAGACAATAGTTATTTTTACTTTTATCCATTTAGGTTAGAACTTTTAAAATTAAAAAAAATAAAAAAACTTGATTGTTATAAGTTTAATATGTAAGAAATATAACTCAATTAAGAAATTAATAGGTAATCTTGATATAAAATAATGAGTGGTTTCTAAAAAAGTTACATGGACTAAAAAACCATGTGTTTAATGTATTTTTACTAGGAAAAATTGTAAAGATAAATAACAAAAGTTACTATATAAAAATTTAATGTTTAAGCCATGTGTTTAATGTATCACATCAATTCCTTCCAATGATGTTTGATTTGACAATTTATTGTAAATAAAATAAAAATATTATAATTATTTCTAATGATATAAAACAATATATATATATATGTATATATATCAATACCAATTTAAAATAATAAATGGACCTAAAAGTTTCTCATAAAATAGATTATAAATCCACGTTAAATAAATTTTATTAAGCATAAAATAACATAAGATAAACGTGTTGTTCTTACATAGATTTGAAATAATCATACTACGAAAAAAAGTAAAAAATAGATGTAAACTTACAATTATTGTCAATTTTAATTATGTGAATTAAAAAGAGAAATAATTGAGTAGTATGCGGAACTATTATTCAATACTTCTTAAAAGGGAACATCATAATTGTTGTAACATATACTTTCAAAGAATATGAAAATAAGTTAGTTACATAATGCTTTATCAAACATTGAAAAATAAATGTGAACATTTTAATCTTATAAACAGTATAAAAGTACAATTTTATAAAACTTATATTATTATAGATAAATAAACAAGTAATATTAAATAATATTTTATCTTATGTGATTATAGTTGTAACCTAATAAATAAGATATTTTGATAACAACATAATTATATAAAATGCGTAAAATAGTTAAACAATACATATAAATATGCCATAATCCTTTTAACAAATAAAATATTATTTGTGAATGCAATAAGAAACAAATAAAACAATAGTAAGGCAATGAGGAAAAAGAAGTCTGATTTTTTTTTTTTTAGAGAAATCTGAATATCAACATCTAGAAACAAAAGTCTTTTATAATTACTACATATTTTATTACTAGCGTTTAAATTCTCATAAATATTGATCCTATATTATCGATTTTGAATTTTTAAATAATTGAAAAAATAAAAAATTTGTAATACATAATGTATATTTTAATAATGACTTTGTGATAATAAAGCTCACAGATGGCGAAGAGTATTATAATATAATAAAATTTTAATTTTTCTCCTCTCTAATATTTTAACAAATGATATGTCTCTCAATATTATCTCATTGTTTTCTTTTTTTCATTGTTAAAGAATCAAGAAAAGATATTTATCATAAATTTTTTAAAATTATGATTGATGCAAAAATTTGGATAATAAAAGCGTCTGAAATCATTGGAACAACGAAGATGCTCAATGATTTGCAAACAACATATTATATAGTTCGTCTATTTTCCAAATCAATAACATTGAAAAGGAAATGTCGGAGCATGAACAAAATATTTTTGAATTTTTTAATGAAGTTATCATATGTTGATAAAGCTGTTTACAATTTCATTGGTGTATTGTGATCGAATATATGTGCAATTACTCTGTAGTATATACTTTCATGTAATGTATGATGATTTCAAAAAATAATTTAGTTTTCTTGTAATGTGTGATGATTTAAAAACATAATTTAACATCTCGGGAGAAGTATATGTAACCAAGATTTTGAAAGGTCAACTTTTATTTGAAAATGAAACTAATTCTCATCCCGTGGGGTGATGCCTCCATGGGGGAGGTGTCAATTTGTCTATATGGAGAGAGAATAATGTAGTAGTTTAAAAAATAATAAAAAAAAAAATTTTAATGAAACGGTTGATTATTTCACAAGGATATTCATTAACTCTTATTAACAATACCTTATAAATATCATAATCATAGAGTTTGACTATATGTTTGGACAAAATATTTTGCATTGTTTGAATAAAGTAGACTTTTTGCCTAATGAATCTATCTATATATAAAAAGGTTGTTGTTGAAATCATTTATAGTAACTTTTGACAAAATAAATAATTTATTTGACGTACTATATATAGACAATTTAATAAAACTAAAAGAAACCGAAATAAATGCTTTCAATTTTTCGAATTATATGCTTTGCGAATAGATTTATACTTTCAATTAGTTTATTATTTCAAAACGAGATTAAGAGTTTGACTTCAAACTAAACACTTCAAATACGTGCTTTTAAAAATACATGCTTTTAAAAAGAAACGTGATTAATGATTTCTGTTAGAGTTTGTGAGTTATCGAAATACATGTTTTTAAATTAGTATGATACATATTTTAATTAATTAATTATGGTACGAATTATCTATGAAAAATTCACTTCAAATCCGGTTCCATCTATAAAGGATTTTGTTATTATTTAAATTTTTTTTATAAATTAGAATTTTGTTTGGTTGTTCGAGACTTAGTATGTAAATACATTAGGCATACCATGTTTATCTGAAACTTATTTGGTTGTTCGTGAATATCTATATTATATAAAGAGACAAACCAAAAACCGTAAAATAGTAACTAAAAAAAAATTAGGTATCCCGCCTAAATATTTACTAAACAATAAACATGTTAGTATTTTTGGAAAGTTTTGAAATAGCCCGCCTAAATGTGTTTTTGAAAATTTTGGAAAAATTTAAATTTAAACATTTAATAGAAAATATCACATACAAATTATTTTGGATACATTTCATTTTATCTTAACTTCCATATAATCTACCACATCATGAAAAAGTATCTACTTACAAGGAACAAATGAAATATTAGGCTTAATATATTTAATATTGTCATAAAATTGTATTTAAATTATTATGAGATAGAATAAATTCTAAAAATTGAATAGAATGGATACATGGCACAATATTTACTTTAAATTTGTTTATATATTTTTAAATTAATTACATCAGTAAATTAAATACTTATCATTATATAAACAAAATAATACTTTTTATAAGTGCTATAATTAATAATAATGAAGCTATATAAAATTAAATTTTAGAATAAAATAATATTTAAGTATTATGATGAGTAATAATAAGTAAAATTATTATTTATGTATAAAAAACAAATATATATTTTACAATATTGTTTATATTAATATATACGGGTCAACGAGCTAATACATTGTTAAAATAAAGTTTTAAAAAAGATTTTAAGGTACAAACTCGACCATGCATCGCACGGGATTCTTACTAGTTAAGAAGAATTTGCCTATTGATGTTTAGAACTCCAATTGGTATGAATGGCTTTTTATGAGAACATCAAAACTAAAATAAAAGAAAATCACTCTTGAATCATCAAACATAAATAAGAAAAAAAAAACTAATGCATTTATAATATACATTATGTCTTTATTTAGTTATTTAATGTCTTTTTTTTAAAAAAAAAAAATTATGGACTCATTTTTCATGTATTTGTATTGGGTTGTAATATATCATTTTATTCTTTTATATTAGTGCATCGTTATGTTATTTTTGAAAAAAAATAATATATTAGGAGCTCATTTGTTCTACGTTTTATTTTGTTCCCGCAATGATATGTTTAATAAATTAATTAATTTATTTTACTAAACTTAATCGGCAAAAACATTCGCCACCACGTTCAATGCACGTGTACTTTACTAGTAATCATAAAATATGCGACGCTCTACTTGGATTTGCGATTATATAACATGCGTAAGTGTTTCACGTACTTGTTAACTATGCATCCAATTTGGATATGCGAGGCATAAAATATGCGAAAACTTGTCGCATAATTGTAAAATATGTGACTATCAATTTGGATATGGGATTATATATCCGTAATAAATTCGTATAACAAAAATTATGCGGGTGAATTTGAATATACAATTAATAAACATGCGAATGTGTTTCGTATAATTGCTAACTATGCGCCTAACATGGATGTGTTAGTATATATATAGGACAAAATCTTGCATAATTGTTAAATATGCGGTTCATTTGGATATGCAATTTTTATATCACATATAGTTTAGTGAGTTGTGGGGGTAAAAAAAAAAAGTTCTTTTTATGGGACAATGTGTAAAAAAAGTGCATGTATATATGGGCGTGTAAAAAAAATTATCCCCAACAGATATTCTACCTTGCGGTTTGCTTGCGATTTCATGACCATGTTTTAAAAGCCATAGTAACACAAAACAAACTACAGTTAGTTGGAAGATTTCACCCTATGTTGAAATTTAGTGGGTCTTTTATCACTAGATCAATACACAGTGAAAAATCTGGTGACTGCATCAGTGCATTGTGCCGTCACCAGTGGTACGATCAGAACGTCCAAGTTAGACAGGGGTTCGTATTACAATTCAGGATATATCTGTTAGAAATTGCCAAGCTTACCTGAAAAGTCCAGTAAACTTGAAACATGGACATAAACACATTTTGTATCTCTCTATAAATAAATGCAAAAATTTTCGAGCTTACGTATCGATTCGTAAATTCGTAATGCTCCAGAATACTATGTGTCCTTTTTTGTGTTCGTCGTTCTATGCTTCAAATTATGGTGGTTTAGAATAATCGGTGCAGATTTGGACTTTTATATATATTATTAGAAATTTTATCCGTCTATACAATTATTTGAAGGGGGACAGAGAACATTATAATGTCATGATTTATGAAACAAAACAGACCACTTCCTCACACCCAGTGCCGGGAGTCGGGACCACGTATATAATATAATAAACGAACCTCCCTTTCGTTTTCGGTTAGGTACTTCATTTTTATTTATTTATTTATTTATTTATTTTTCTTCCTGTATGTTGGGACCACCTGTATGTTGATATCTATAAAAGCAAGTCAAATTATGTTGGAACAATCACAGATCTAGGAAGAACTACTGAAATGGTAGGCATGATAAATCTTTAGGCATACTGATCACATGACATCTAAATTTTGTAACCCCGAGCCTTTCGATTTATGCAGGCATCTTATCGAAATGCCGACATGGAGCCCAAACAGCAACAACAGAAAGGAGGGCATAGAGCTGCATCATTTGCGTTCGGTAATGAATTAGAATGAAAGAAAAGAGAAGGAAAGAGAAAATCATAGTTTGTTTTATTTTTCTCTTTCCATTTTTCATCAACTAATGTATAGTTTTTGTTTGGATTTGGTAATCTTTCACGGTAAATGAAGTTATGGCGGCCCTAGAAACGTTGACATTCAGTTCGAATGCTGTGAGCTTGTTCAATTACTTTCATGGGTACATGAACTTCAGCTTGACCAAGTCGGCTAACGCCCTCACAAATTACATGGGCACGGCTTTTTTGCTTTCCCTATTTGGAGGAGTCATTTCAGATACTTACATCTCAAGGTTCAAGACCTGCCTCATCTTCGGAACCATACAAGCAATGGTATATGTACTGTTACGCTTTAGTTACCATCTTATTTGTCCATAGCTAGAGCAGTATTCAATAATCACGCCAATAACGTCGTATTTCACTAATAATTTAAGCAAGTCACAAAATAAAAGTGACATCCAAAACCATCATAGTCCCCACTAATCAACTAAAACTTTAATGACATGACACATAGCACCTTTTTTCTCCCACATCTCAAAAGCTAAACCATATACATTTTTCGAAATGCAATCCCATTACAGAAGCTTGCTGTTTGGATAAAGTAAATCCGACATACTTATATTATTTGTCACAAAAAGTGCTTGTATAATATAATATTTCCAGGGATACGCTTTGTTAGCCGTACAAGCCCACCTAAAACAGCTCAGACCCTTTCCTTGCAAAGATGTCCAAGCCAGCCAATGTGTAGCGGCCAGCACGAATCAGGAGGCCATGCTATTCACGAGCCTCTATCTCGTGGCCCTTGGGAGTGGGGGGGTCAAGGCTGCCCTGCCTTCCCTTGGGGCAGACCAATTTGACTCAAGGGACCCCAAGGAAGCTCCTTGCCTCTCGAGCTACTTCAATTGGTACTACTTTTTTGTCAACATAGGGGCCATTCTCGGGTTGACTTTTATTGTCTGGATTAATACGAACACGGGTTGGGATTGGGCATTTGCCGTGTGCGCTATGGCTATAATGATGGGTGTGTTGGCCCTGAGCATGGGGCGTTGTTGGTACCGGCATAATGTGCCTCGGGGGAGTCCAATTACTAGAATTCTGCAGGTATGAACTGAACAGCTATGTCGATTTCTTCTTCATCTTTTCTCTTTTTCTTGGGTTTTTAAGCATTAGTTAATCTGTGTTGTAGGTGTTTGTTGTGGCGTTTAAGAACAGGAATATGCCGGTGCCAGAGAACGATGAGGAGTTGCATGAAGTTGGTGATAAAGAAGCTGAGCACACTGAGATTCTGCAAAGGACAGATCAATTCAGGTAACTAATGTGTTGGATGCTTGCATTGATTAGATCAACCTTGGAGTCAAAAATGGGAATAGTAGGGAATGAAGAAGATGATAAGTTTCGACTAGTTCAAGTAGTTTTGTTAGTTTTAAATTTCCAGTTTATAATCCTACAAAATTTAGCCAGATTCTGAAAGAACAATAAGTGATTATTGAGTGATTAAGATAATTAAACCACAAACATTTTTCAGCGTTTGCAATTTAAAGTGACTAGTAAAGTGCACGTGCGATGCACGTGACGACGAATGTTTTTTACCGATTAAATTTAGTAAGATAAATTAATTAATTTATTACACATATATATGATTGCAGGAACAAAATAAAATGTAGAATAAATTTTCATGCATTTTATTTTAAATAGAAAAATATTGTCGTAATATAAAAAGATTTAAATATCATATTACAACTCCAACAAAAATATATGAAAAATGAGTTCCTAATGAAAAAACAATAAATGACTAAATAAAGACATAGTGTATATTATAGATGCATGAGTTATTTTATTTATTTATGTTAGATTCAAGAGTCATTTTCTTTTATTTTTGGTTTTTGTTTAGAGTCATTTTCTATTTAAAATAAGAAACATTACATAAAAATATGTACTCTAAAACAATTACGCGTATGATCGAGCACAATACACAGTTATGATTGTAAATATTCTTATAAAAAAGTGACAACTTATTCAACATTCAAAAATATTTTGATCAGAATCAAACATTCCCTTTTCAGTGTTATTAATTTGGAAGATAGATACCTTGCATATTCTTTCGGATTTGCAATATATATGTGTCTAATAACATTTATTGTCCAATCTTTTGTATCATAACTAATGCTTAAAAAATTCAAGATAAAGATCCTTTATTGATTCTTCAATAATAACAAAACAAAACAAAACAATAAAACAATATTGAGAAGTATTTGTCAAAATATTTCAGATGAGAAGAATTTGAATTATACTATATTATGATACTCTTAGTCATCTGTTAACTTTATTATTATGAAGTCATTATTAAAGTTTGTGGTCTATCTTATGATAATATCGAATCATTATTTATGAGACCAAATTTCTTATAGAGAACATATACTTAAATGCTAGCAACAAAAAAAGTAGTAATTTTAAAAGATTTTTGTTTCTTGATATTAGTATTCATACTTTTCTAAAAAAATTCAGAATTTTTCTTTTCCTCATTGCATTACTATTGATTTACTTTTTTTTTTTTATTTGTTGAAAGAATTAGAGAACATTTATATGCAATGCGTTCTTTTTACGTGTTTGATAGTAATAATATACTTGATAAAAATGTTGTTTTATATTGTTTATAATATTAAAAAGATTTGAATTTATTTCCATGTTCTGATAAAATATTAAGTAACTAATTCATGTATTCACAAAAAATACATTTTACAACCATTATGGTGCTCCCTTTCAAGCAATAATTGAATAATAGTTTAACATACAACCG